TTAGCAGCAATCCACCAACAACTTGGCCAACAAAAATCCCTCTCTCAACCTGACTCAATATGGTGGCTTCTCAAATGTTTCTGAGTTTGGCAATGAGAGTGTTTGGTATCCAGACTCAGGAGCCTCAGCTCATGTAACCAATAAACTAAGCAATTTGATCATAGTATTTGACTACATAGTACCAAGCAGACTTCAAGTTGGCAATGGCATTGGAGTTTCTATGAACCAGATTGGTAAAGGCTTTCTTAAGTCAAAATCAGGCCACATATGTCACAAGTACACCAGTCAATAGTAGACCTAACCATCTTCAAATGTCCTCAAGAGAGAAGTTATAGCTACTCCTTAATTCCATAAGTAGTAAATTCGCCAATATCAGAGAATCAAGAACAGACTAACCAAGATCAAGAGATTCAACAACCCATGAACCTTCATCCTATGATAACAAGGGCTAAAGTTGGCACCTACAAGCCAAAGGTGTACAATCTAAACATTCAAGACAGAGAACCAGACTCTCATGAACAGGCATTGCAAGACCCTTAGTGGACGGCAACTATGGGAGAAGAGTACAATACCCTTATTAAGAACAAGACTTGGAGTTTTCCTATTGACTTGGAGTTTTTCTTATTAAGAACATGACTTGATGTAAACCCACAACCATAAGAGTGATCATGACTATAGCCACATTCCACTCCTGGCCCATACTCCATATTGATGTAGACAATGTTTTCCTCAATGGAGAGCTTGAAGAAGACATTATATAAAACCGCCATATGGTTTTGAAAAGGAAGGAGATCTAGTTTGCAAGCTGTCAAAGGCACTTTATGGTCTTACAAAGATTCAAGGACGTGGTTCACCAAGATAAAATCTGTGTTATTGAATCTAAACTTCAAGAACTCAAGATTTGATACCTCTCTTTTTGTTCTAAATGAAAATAGACAGATGACATACATGCTTATTTATGTGGATAACATACTTGTCACTGGAAGTAATTCTCACACCACATAAAGAGTCATCAACAAGCTCAAAGAGACATTCTCTCTAAAGAATTTGGGAGAAGTTCAACACTTCCTAGGGATAGAGGTTATAAGGACAGCTCAAGGGTTGCACTTGAACCAGTCAAGATATATAAAACAGCTTCTTGAGAAAGTCAACATGGCTGAGGCTAAGGGTTGTCCAACACTAATGGTCTCATCTCTGCACTTGTCTAAATTTAATGGTGAATCCGGAGTTGAAGGAACCCTTTATAGAAGGGTATTATGGGCCCTACCATATGCAACAATCACAAGACCACAAATAAGCTTTTCTTGTCAACAAGGTGAGTCAGTTTATGGCTTCTCCTTTAATGCCACATTGGAAAGCTGTTAAAAGTGTTCGGAGGTACTTAGTTGGTACAATGAATTTTGGGTTGCACATCATGAAATCTAGGCACCTAAACCGAACAGGCATTTCAGACTCAGACAAGGCAGGTGACTGTGATGATAGAAAGTGTATGACCGAGCCTTGTTTGTTTCTTGGTGAAAGCCTCATATCCTGGTCAGCAAAGAAGCAAAATTCCATTTCAAGATCTACCATAGAATCAGAGTACAAAAGCTTGGCTCATAATGTGGCTGAAATTACTTGGTTACAATCATAGATGAAGGAGCTGAATGTTAAAGGTACTTCTATTCATACCATTTGGATAGATAATATCAGCACCATCTACCTTGACACAAATCCCATTTTGCATGCTAGAACCAAGCATATAGAATTGGACATACACTTTGTTAGAGAGAAGATTGAAGCCAAAGCTATCACTGAGAACCAGGTCCCTTCTTATGACCAGGTGCCTGGTATAATGACAAAGCCTTTGAGTTTGCAATCCTTTGCTCGTCTAAGAAACAGATTGGGAGTAGTTTCCTTGAGCTCGCTCGAATTGAGGCGACGTGTTGAACGTAAGGCTAAAGTGAAGCCTGCTCTTCATCCATGCAGTGAAAAGACAAACTTGCCTTCAGCTTATTATGGCCACATGCAGCTTGTGAAGAAGCACGAGATCACTGCACGTGTCACTTATCCTAAGACTAACATTCATGCAGTACAACGTGAGGAATTAGATAACCTGTCTCACTTGCATAAATGTTCAGTACAGTGACCCTAGCCGTTTTAGTGAAAAATCGTATTTAATCTATAATGCTCTTAGCTTGAAATGGAAGAAAAGCTTTTCTCATGTCTTATCATTTTTTGGCATTTACTTTCAATAACGAAACAAGAAATTTGCCAAATATGATAATGAAGCGTGCGAGCATGTCAGTTACTATGTAGCCATTAGATATTATTATTATTACTATTTTTATTATTATTATTATTATTATTATTATTATTATTATTATTATTAT